ATTTCTAGGCGATAAGGACAACCTCGACAGTTGGTGGTGTGCTCGCCTTAACTGTTAGCGTATTTCGGCGTCTCTAGGTAGATAGCAGCTTCATCGTTGCTTCCAATTGTCGCACCTAAAGGCGAATGTCTAAATACTTTTCTTTAATTAAAATTATAAAGGATATCAAACTGAAGTTATTTTTAATAACAAGAGACCTCAGATTTTGGCAGCTGTACAAAGAGGAAATCATTATTTTTACCATTTTTTTTTAGTTCTACTTTCGTAGGACATTTAATGCGCTATCATTTCTAGGTTGTTAGTTCATTATTTTGTTCTACTAAAGTAAAACTGGCTTTAGTAGTTTAGTGGTAAAACTTTACTCCTTCAGTGTAACGTCAACGGTTCGATTCCATTCTTAATCCTAGCTACTAGGGGAAAAGAACTTGACTCTACATTGGTTAGTAAACTGTAATGGCAACCTTGCTCTGTTTTTACTTAGGAGAATATTGCTCAGACTTTGTATCTAATTCCTTTCTAATTATACCTTGGGTAGCCTAATTTACTCTGTAGCTAAGGTTAAAAGACAATGGTTAGCTTAAGTTAATACAATAATCAGAATCGACTCAATTTTATACAATCATTAGCTTTCGATAATGTCACCGAAGCTCAAAGTAATAATTTTTATTAGTGATTCTACCTGGTGCTGTGTTTTATCTTATTGTACTTTATTTGGGTAGGAGCATTATTTTTTTAAATATTTTATTCAATTTTTGGCACTTTCCTAAAAAGTGTCTTTATATAGAATAATTAAGGAGCTCAAAACTCCGTATATAGAGAATTAGCTAGTTAACTTGTTCTCGAGCAATGCAATCAATTGAGTGCATGAAATCATTTTAAAGTTGCTACGATCCTTTGCTTTGCTTCGATTTCAGCAGGTAAGTCTTATGTTATCCAATCAATAAATAACTATAGCAAACTGAATAGAGAACTGCTAGGGCTGGTAGCACTGTACCGTTAGTTATATCTTTTGACTATCGCAAATCACCGTACAATCTTTAAAATACTAAAGGGTTATGAGTAACCTAAATAAAAGTTATCGTAAACGCGTCCGAAAGAGATCGGGCCTATATATACACTTTCGCTGGTTGGTTATTCTCAATGTCTCTCAGTACTTGTCTTCAGAGAATTGAGACTACGATTGCCGTCCACAGATGAATTAGACTACATGTGTACATGAGAAGGCCTTATGGCGTTTAGTAATTCTCTACGGCAATTGGGTCCTTTGAGCTTAGATGAATTCATAGTACTTGGACCTCACGGGAATACTTACAAAACGACCGTTGTGACTACGGTTGCCCTGCTTGATCGAGGAGAGTCGAGGTTTGTAGGCTACTGTGAAGACGAAGGCTTATTGTTATGTATCGAAAGATATGCTCTTAAACTTGGTTAAAGCTGCGCAGCGTCACAACTTCGAGATGAAGTTTAGCACAAGATCGGTTGTACTGCTTGAAAGCAAGTTAGTTAGCTCGCTCTCTTATAAAGACCGACTTATACTATATAACAATACTAATTTAGGAGAATTAGTAAAATTAAACAGATGTTAAATTTAAAATTCACAGTGTAGTTAGCTCATTTTTCTTGCAAAATACACTAATTAAAATAAAGGAAGTTAGTTTCTTCCGTAATAACAAGGCTCATAAGGATAACCTTGATGCAAAAATAGATCTATTAGAGGTAGCTCTCAATGTATGAAGATTAAGAGAAAGCTAAAGGATTTTCCACCTCAATGAACTTGAATCAAGCTAAAGATCGCTGTCCAGACCTTAAGGAGGAGCATGTCCCAAGGTAAAAATCTAGTCTAACAGGAAAAACTAGTAACCTCGAACTAGAAAGTAACCTTGGTTATGGAGCATTTCCTACTTTATTTATCTGTTATCTTACCTTGAGACATGCTCCTCCTTAAGGTCTGGACAGCGATCTCTAGCTTGATTCAAGTTCATTGAGGTGGAAAATCCTTTAGCTTTCTCTTAGTCTTCATGCATCGGGAGCTACCTCTAACAGATCTATTTTTGCATCAAGGCTATCCTTACGAGCCTTGTTATTACGGAAGAAACTAACTTCCTTTATTTTAATTAGTGTAGTTTGCAAGAAAAATGAGCTAACTACACTGTGAATTGTAAATTTAACATCTGTTTAATTTTACTAATTCTTCTGAATTAGTGTTGTACATAGTATAATTAACAACGAAGAATCGATCGTTATAAGAGAGCGAACTAACTAACTTGCTTTCAAGCATTACAATCGATTTTATGCTAAGCTTCATCTCGAAGTTGTGTCGCTTCTCGACTTGGCTGCGGCTTCAGAAGGTAAGTCTTATGTTATATAATCAATGGATAACTATAGCGAACTGACTAGTGTTGTGAATGGTAACATTAGTTATTAGCAATATACTTTACGCTTTCGTCAGGTTCTGTACATTCTTTAACATAATAAACGATTATACATAATCTAAATAAAAGTTATCGTACAAGCGTCCGAAAAAGATGAGACCCCTTCTAGCACGACTGATGCGTGTCGTTATTCCTTGCATCTCATGGTACCTGTTTAGCAGAGAATTGACATGGGGCTCCATCTACGGAAGGATTGTCGTACATGTGTAAACTACATACAATCTTGTGGTGTTAAATAACCCTCTAGGATCAAGCGCTTCCGAGGAATCGAAAATTACTTGAGTACGCTATGGTCTCTTGGAACGTAACACGGTTGGTTCTGAATATGGTTATCATGCTCGATCGAACCATGTTGAGGTATGTACGATGCAGTGCGTAGGCTTATTGTTACGTGTCGGAAGACATACTCTTAAAATTGGTAAAAACACCGCTTCAGATAGGTTAATTTAGGCAGCTTCTATCTTACCTGTATCAGGTGGACTGTTACTATTATCTCTAACTTGACTAACTATCAATTACTAGCATCGACTCTATAAGAGTTTTGCATAATATAGCTAGCCTGATAACCTATGAAACAAAAGTACATCACGTTCTCCCGTGGTATATACTAGTAATTGCCGTCCGGAGAGAATCCTCTGTGAAAAGCAATGAACGAGCTGTAGAACTCGACTAGTTAACTATTTGATACTAGTTGACGGAATCAGCAAAGTAGCATGCATACTTATGCTTGCAAGTCACTAACTGCGTGCGAAGACTTTTGCTATAAAGGCGCATGCTATGAGTAATTGAAGGGCACTAGCTCTTATTTCACGGGGCCGTCGGGTCGATCCTATACAGTACTACCTGATTGGTTCGCAAGAACTGTAACCGATGAGTATAGTAACGGTACTATATGATTGGCTGAAGCTATTAGTGCTGGTTACTATGATCTATGCCTCGCGTAAGCGTTGGTTGGGCCGTAGCGAGCAGTACTAGTTGCTATAGGCTCGAGCGCTTAGTATGGTATCGGTATATGGTTATAGTGCTATTAGCAAGTATATATATTAGAATGCCCTCGGCGAGCACAAAAGAAAATCTTTCTTTATCTTATGTCTGTAATTTCGCTGCTGTTTATGTTAAACCTGTATTCGGCGTGATGTACTAAGTTTAGCGTGTATTTATGTCCAAGTCTTCCATGTTTTTGCTGTAACATTGTTCATATGATATTGTGTTGTAGTTGCATTCTTCTCCTCTTCGGTAACTTAAAGCAATCATTTAAACTATATCTGTAAATTTAATTAAATATTTCGTTAGGACTCTGTGCACTGCACCAGCATCATGACTATCATAGAGACTCAAGTCTCTCGATGTACTGCTATATGCTTTCTTTACCCTGTCTTGTTGCATTGCAGAGTCCTCAGTATCTTGAAATATATACATTCTTCATGGTCAAACAGCTATTTATGGTAAATTATGGCTAGTCCTTCTGATTTTCCTTTGAAATTTTCCATGGAAGCTACCCTTTACGACTCATTACATGTACAGAGTTTTTTTTAGCTTTTTAGTATGGGCTCCTCTGTATGCTATTTCCTTAAAACATATCATGTGAAGTTTGCTTATTTAGGCTAGTTCTAATAATTGAGAGTTATACCTATTGTTAAATTCTTTCTTGTAGAGAGGGTCCTTGCCATATTATTTATTTATTTATAAATGACTTTTCCTGGTGCTCGGACGAGTTAACAACTTTGAATACTCAGGCTTTCAGTCAGGAGTAATAGCATGTATTTTCCGTCATTCGCATTATGCATATATCGTTACCTCTGAAGGGATCGGAAGTTGTCTTCATAGCTCAGCGGTTGAGAGCATTGATGCACATACCCAAGATCGTGGGTTCGATTACTACCGCCGCTACTCTCTTTTCGGTCTTTAATGGTCGACTATTTAATTTCTAATACAGAACGTGGTAGTCTCCTTGCCACCCACCACAATCTAACCAGGGTCCTGGTTTTGACTTTTCAGATCACATGCATGAAGTGCGTTTTACTGGTTGCTCCCCCTTGCAAGTTGTGAGAGTACTGGACCCTTTTAACTGTTCTACGCAAAGCGTACTGGTGGAATTCGCGCTTATAACGTAATATTATCAATGAAAAAAGATGTTAAATATAATATGAAAACTGAAAAAATATGATGGATCTTTTTCGGACTGCTTTTTAAAGTTTTTATTTAGCATTAAAGTAGGAGTGCCCTCGGTGCGAGTAACGAAAAAACGTAAAAAACATTTTTTAATCATTGGCATTAACAATTAGTGGTCGATTGTGAGTTTGTGATTTTTTATTGGCTTAAAATATTGAGTCTATTGAACATTAAGTGGTAAGACTTATTTAGCGATATAACCTACTTTTAATCTTACATCTTTTTATCCTATATAGTTAGTGCTAAACTTTAGATATGTTTATCACTAAAACTTAAAAATTGTAATTGTGACCTGCCGATAGACTTTTATACTAGTATATATTAACTTACCTCTACTATAATTTTTGGCTTTTACCACATTGTTTTTTTTGTGGTTTAAACTTTTAATGACAAAGAAATTTTTTGTTGTTATAAACAAGCTTATACTTTACTGGCTATGGAGGAAGGTTTATTGGCTTCAAAAGAGGTCCTAAATTTTGAAGATTCACGGGTTTTGCATCTTACTTAGTTTTTAATTTTTATTATTATAGAAATAAAGTTATTCTAAATTCCTCTTCTATCATTTATTATGGTAGATGTTGAATCAAGTTATAATCTTGCAAGATTTTTTTCGATTACACGTTCAAAGGTTAAAGATATAATTGCGTTTGATAAACTTTAGCTTTAAAAGTCGCTGGAATATTGAATGGTACTGAATATAAATATTCTTTTTAGTAGACGTGAAGGGAAAAATGTAAGTTTAAAACGACTAAGCATTGTTCAAGAAATATTAAAAACCGAAAGGAGTTACCTTCTTGGCCTTAAAATTGCTGTTAAACCTTATGGGAATGCTCTATATGGTTTGGTTTATTATATCTTTTTTTCTATCTATTTTATTAGTTTAAAGTTTTTTTTAGAATATATAATAGAGAAATCTGCCGGTGGCCTTCAAGGTATGTTTTCAATTAACTTGTTGAAAGATTCATTAGTAAATTCGTTTTAGCAAAACAAGGCGATTCACTTAGCACTCTCATTTCCGAGCTTGCTCACTTGGGTAAGCTTATTTGCTAGTTCGCCTACTCATTATTTTTACTTTTTTTATGAAATAGAACGCAAGCACACCATTTCCTTAGAAAAGCTATCCACGCTGGTTGAGTGTTGGAGTGAAAGTACGTGCATTGGCCAACTTTTTTGTGAAATGGCAATTATTTAACAATTACATTTTTATAATTGTTTTTTTATTCTTTTTAAAAAATTGTTAAGGAGCCGTGGTTGAATCTTTATGTTCGTTATTGCGCTTTCTTTTTGAAAGGAAGCGAACAGTTGGATGTCCTTTTACTTGAGGAGAGTTTTTTTTTAAAGCATGAAGAGGTTCGGCATCTCCCTCTTTGCAAGAAGAAGCCGCTTAAGAGTAGATTTTAGGACTTTTTTTTTTTTAAAGCTTTACTATTGCTACTTAGGCTTTTTGCTTATGCCTATTCAGAGGATTCCGCACTATGTATTGCTGTTCAAAGTATTCTTATACTGATTTTAATAATTTTACCAAACTACTTTTACTTGCCTGCAGGAGCTTTTACTTAAAACAGATCACTCGAATCCGGATTTTGGTCCACTAGAGAGGGTGCTGACTTTATTTAAGGATCTCGCGGCCTCTATGAATCGACAACTAATTCTTTACGAAAACACACAGAATCTGATCGCGCTTCGTGCGCGCTTTACCGAAACGAAACTCGTAAGTCATCACTCGCCTTGTTACTAAAAGGCCGCCTTACACTTGTCCCAAGGCTGCACCCTGCAAGAGACTACTGACAACCGGTCTCTTTATTAAAGATGGCGTTCTGCACTGCAGGGGGCGCCCCCACAAGGAGATAAAGTTAGCCTATCTCGTGCTTTTCAGCGGAGCGCTTCTACACGGTACCCCCCCCGCAAGGTCCGGCTCACCAGCTATAATACCCATGTACTGCGTATAGGCCCCGCCAAGTCCAAGTTTTCATTTTCAACGTTGCGACTTGGAATGCATAAAGTTAGGAACACGGCAAGTGGTTTTTCTTGCATCCGACTTGGAGGCGCCGTGGTGGAAAGGAAAGGTATTTTTTTCTTCTTGAGTGTCGATGGTAGTCTCCTAGTTCTTTCTCGCTAGGGAACACGCTTGCCATCACCGCATCTACCACCTCACTGACTCTTGTTTTTAGCTGCAGAGAGCAGAAGCTATTAGACGAATGGAGTGCGGCGTTTAAGCTCTCCCTCGAGCGCGTGGATCCTGTATGTGCGTCGAGCTTTTTTTTTATGACATCCTTTTATTACTGTTTCGTCAGCAATTAGAGCAGGAACTGCTCTCGCCGTGCCTTGAAAACCTGCTGACTACTTGTTCTAGCGTGGATTTTTACGGGGAACCGAAACAACCACTTTCCGATTCAAGCGGAGTGAGAAGATCGCAGTCTGTCTTGAGCGTAACCCTTTTTTTTCTTTGGTCTTAAGCTTTGATTAACCAATTCTGTTGGTTTCCTTTAGTTTTTGCGGATGCAGCTCAACAGGGCCCACTTTTTGGGGAAAGAGAAGAAAGTACGATGTTATACACCCGACTGAGCACGTAACCATTCTTCTCTTTTCCACTTCAGCTTAACGCACCCTAATAAGACGCACATGAACGGCTGTCAGGGTTTATGACTTCTATAAAGAAGCATGCTTAGGTCACATAAAGTTGTGTTTATTACGACGCCTTTTATTTTCAGTTACGTTGTGATGGCATCCGGTATTTGTCTTTTGCTCGACCCTTAATTTTAAAAGCAAGACATCACAGTAGGTTTTCATAATACAACGCAAGGAGATAGCACCTTTGATCTTGGCTGTGGTGTTTGGAAAGTACTTTCCTCGCGTGCGGTACCTGACTTGGCCGTTTCTATGCAGTTACTAAAGAAAGAGATATCCGGGCAAACAGTATTGGCAAGTACCTAGCCACATCCATGGGGTAGACAAGAAGATGCCCTTTCATCTCCACCACCTTTTTCTGAGTGAACAGTTTCCAATTGTTTTCTGCCAGTTTAGCTACTTGACGAATGCACTCTAGTTCCCATGGTTTGTCTGTGGTGTAATAACTCTTTTTTCCTGCAACGAATGGGGGGGGAGGGAGGGGATGTACCGTAGAGTGGGTCGTCGATCCCCAAGTGCTCCTGGAAAAGGCATTTTCTGAAGCCGAATATCTGCAAAGAAAAGGCGCGTCAGGCTGTCCACGGCGCCGGAAGCAGAGCGGACAGCACCTCCCCTCTGGGCGTATTTCCATTTTTGTACACGTGACCAGGTTGGTAGCCGCCAATGCATATTTCGGTGTCCCGGTCTCCCGCGAGTGACCTCTAAACGATTAGGTAAGAGCTACTGTGATTTTAACTGCTTGTGGGAACGTGCACCTCGTTTATGTTCGCCGAACCGAGTATAGCATATTCATCATCGACAATCATTAGTTTGGAATGAACATAAATCATAAAACTGCACACAAAAGAGTTAAAAGGGCTGGTAATGTATATATCGGTCAACTTTCTTCTGGCATAGACTTTTCTTTGTCTGGGATGCGCACTCTTTGAAGGGGCTTCGCTCGCGGCACCTACCGAAGTTTCTCTGTTGCCCTGTATTTGGTGCTTTTACTGGAGTACACCAAGTTGCTAAGCTTTAAATTTTTACTAAACAAAAAAAGCGTAAATAGTCCAAAGGAGAGTGTGAGCAGTTGGTTTTTTGAAGAGCATGTGATATTTTTTTGTACATCATTTTCATGGTTTCGCTTTCCCAGCGCAGGATCTAGGTACGGCGGATTTATTAAGCCTATATCCTGCTAAAAAATCTGTGGGACCTCTTGTACGGACGATTCTTCGGGAATTCCTTCGGGATGCTGCAGTAATTGACTTAACAATATGAACTAAATAAGACTGTTTGTACAAGTACCATGGGTATTACGATATACACCGCAAACCGCTCATTTCTTTCAATTTTATAGACTATTTTTTTGGCAATCTTTTTTCGATGGTGATTAGGAAAAATAGTTTAGCGGATAAGAGTTATGTTAAAGTTGCTAAAAAAACAATCAACCTCTAACGGCACTAAATTGTAGCATCCCGACTTTTTATGCCTAAAAGAAAATTTTGAGCGACGTTATAACTTAAGTATCGTTATTAATAGCTTAAAGGAGCATATTTACCGTTTCCAAGATTGGCAGGAACCTGCGAAGAAAATAGGTGAAAGGGCGCACTTAATAATATAGAATTACCTAAAAAGTATTGATTCTCTATATAAATAAACTTTTCAGCTTTTTTAATAAAGTGCAGATAGGCCTATTGACAAGAGATCTACCGTCCATATTTTTTTTAAAGCAAAGCAACTGATCTTACCATACAGATGCTGTTGTCTACGGCACGGTTATAAGCTTTATTGAAATTAGCAGAGTGCGAGTCAATAGACCTGAAGAGCTGAAACAATAACATAACAGTTGTAAAAAAATGTTTAGGACTTAAGATAATACATGCAGCTTAAAGAATGAGATTAAGATATTTACGAACTTGAACATTAAACATCTCCTTTTCCTTGTGTTTTTGTTTTAAATCTAAAACTTCCTCTTCGTAGGAGAGCAATTCAGGATCATGCTTGATATCGTAGAGCACAGACAAGTACTTGTCCGCCTAAAGTTTTATATTTTATAAACTAATTCAATCCCTCTACGTCATTCCTGACCTGCTTTTCCCACCTCATCAAAAAATTTTCAAGAACATCTCTTGCTGCTGGTCCCTCTACAAAGGAGTGGATGTCGTGCCAAGGTTGACGTGGGCCGTACTCCTGCAGGTAGTAGAAGGTAAACCTACAGTTTTTTTTTGTTTTTAAAGATACTACTTGCGTTATTTCCCAAACGTTATGAAAATCGTTTTTGTGGACACCTTGTGGTGAGTAAACATCGTGGCTACATGTTTCTTTATATAACTTCGAAGTCACACTACCCGATAACGTCCTGAATAGCGAGTGGGTGGGCGTGTCGTAACGGCCATCACATAAATCCAGCCCTCCGATGTAAGCCACGATTTTTCGCTTATGATCTGGCCCCTATCAAATATTTGGATTAGAGAGGTGCAGTCGACTAGGATAATTTTATTCTTAGTATTCACTTCAGCGTCAAGAATGACAGATTTCTGGTGATGAGTAAACCAGAATTGCGTCACCGCTCCTTGTGATCCATATCGTGCAGCCAGTTTTATTTTCACATTGTCTTAACCGTTAAAGTATATATTACTGTAACAAAGCTTGACCATGACTATTAAAAATAGGCAAAGTAAACAACCCAAATTTAAAGCCTCAAAATATTCTCTTGTTGTTTCATCATGAGTACACATTACTCCTTAAAATATCATAAGTTGGCGATAAAGTTAATAAACCTATATACTATCCACATAACCTTCTGCTTTAAGCAAGTTCGTGTGCACAGAAAGTTTCTCATTCCACAGTAAAGCAGCTAACGCCACTCCTTCTCTAGCCTTTAAATCGAAAAATTGTATTTCACCACTATACACTAAGAAAAAAACGCAACTTTTGCAGAAAGAAGTTTGCCCAAGTTAGATGAATAACCAGTCTTTTTCTCCACATCTTCGTCTCTAACTAGTTCAACTTCCGTCCATAAACTCCAACCTAAATTACCATACGTACACAATGTTAAGAGCTTAACCCTGCAGAAGAAATACGCACAAGAGACCAGTTATATAAATAAATTTTCTGGCTTTGCAAATATGAAGGTAAAGATCCTTCCAAACAGAATTTACTTCATAGGTTTTACCGTTTCCTAAAATGGGACCGGTTATTTCTTCAACGTGAACACGAGCATCTTGGTATAACTTGAACTAAAAAGTTATTATACTTAACGTGTTCGTACATGAAACAAGTTTAATAAAACCTTATTACATTCCCTTAAGGGGCTATAAACATACTTAACTTCATAACCGGACCCATATTCATATATTTCCAAGTGAATGTTTAAGGTTCCTCGAACTTTTTTTAATGATAACAATTATTAGAATTTAGAACGGGTTACTGAATAATTATATATAAAATAACTAACATTTTTTATGTTTTGAGAATTTCCCGTTAATTTTTTGCCATTGACCAATGTCTTTTATATTCCCTAAACTGTCAATAACAATTTTGTATCTATTCATTTCATACCACCCTTCAATTAATGGTTTTCAGTGATAAGGAAGTTATAACATTAAAAAAGAACCTGATATAATTTTATATTTTAAAAGTTCTTCAGCTTTAAAGACTAAATATCCTATCTTGTCGCATCCTATGAAGTCCAGATCTTTGCAACATATGATTATTTCTTTAACATCTTGAATAATCTTTTTCAGAAGTTTGTGTATTGTAAATTCGAGTATAAGAAAATATAAATTAAACTACCGGTATTAAAAACTCCTCGTTCCACACCGGATTTAAAGTAGCAGTTTTTACGGACGTGTGAAGCTTGCGTGTTTTATCAAAATCAACAGTAACGTATGGGTCTCCATAGCCATTTGCGTCGGTAGAAATAAAAGATCTACCTTCTATTATTTTGATAAGTAGGGCACAATGTAACTGTACCATAATTAAGTTTACAGCCTAAAATTATCTTATAACCTAACCTGTAATGAAAACTGCATCGTTTAAGTGGATTAAGTCTTTATCTTAAACTACTTAAAATAGAAATCTATATCAAGTTTCTTTTAAGGATTTTAATGACGTTGGTCAAAAACCCTGAGGGATGAACGCTAATGTTAACACTCATTGAATTACAATTAAGCACAAATTAAGTAACTGAGACCTTTCGATAAGAAGCCATTGGCTGATTACTCTCTAAGAAAATTTATGAAAATTAGATTTTAAAGTTAACCACTTTCGCAGTGCTGCATATTTTATAAAGTTTTGTTCATAAGTTATAGCGAATATAGGAATTTAAACTTGGCTCTAGTGAGTATTTAATATTAAACTCTAGCGCCTATAACTGAGACGTAATATAGAATAAATGATTGGCTAGGACCCCCTCACACTCGCACTTGAAACTTTAAATGAGAAAATTATTTCGCAACTTATTATGTTTGGATGTCCTTGCAGTGTATCGAGAAATGAAAAGAAAAACTTGTAATAAATTTACTTTATTGACCATTAAAAACTTGAGCTACATTTAACTATGAGGTTATACCGGTTTAACAATTTGTTTAAGGATTAGTGGAAATTTCCACTAAGTAAAATTTATGCAGGTAGCAGAATTAAAAGAACAACTTCAAACTTTGTACTTATTTGAATTATTACTGACACACCACAATTTCTTAATAAAATTTTCACAGCTCAATCGGGTATTCCACATACACCAGGCTTGGGCACAAGTTTGTTTAAAAAAAGTTTAGCTATTATATATATTTTTATCAACTAAAAACTTCTAAGAAAACAACTACAAGGATGATCAGGATAATAGCTTGTAGATAATTAATGGCCTTTTTAAAAAATGGCTATATATTTATATGATGGTACATTTAGGATAATCACAAATAGATTTTAACAGGGTAAATATCAAATTCAACATAGCGGATTCGAGAGTTGCGTTGTAACTCGGCGCTTAAAAGCATTATCACGCATACTCAAGGTTACGGGTCGATTATCACCGACTTAATTCTCTTTTTCAGTCTTTGATCACCGCGTATTCTCGAGCCCCACATAATTTTAGTAGACTTCTTTGTACCCATTTAAAAATTGATTAATACAGAAAAGTTGTGGTCCATCTATGCCAATGAGCGTTAAAGTTTAAGGCAGCTCTATAATTGGCGTCTTTACTAAAAACAGCGTCTTAAACCACGTGCTGTGGGAAAATACTTTATCGAAAGAGTTGCCCATGTTATTCTCAAAGCAGAATTTTAAACGTCCCTGGAGGGAATATATCAGGCCGGGCTCCTGTCATTTTGTCTAGTGTGATGAAAAACGGGAGAGGCGGCATCAAGAGCTAGACACACCCAGAACTCTTGGAGGAAACGAAAAGCATTCTGCCAACCAGGCTTTTCCTACCATCAGCTCTCCACTTGAAGCGGATGGCCTATTTTAATTTTGAACTTTTTTATTGCACTGCCGTATTAGGGTCGGTCTTCTTAAAGACATTCAGTATTTTTCCTTAAAGAGGGGCCAAGGACCCGGGGAGCACCTTTTTATTGCTCCCAAAAAAGTATAATGAAAAGCAGATTAAATCTAGTCTACGGTAACAAAGAATATAGGAAGTACAACTTAGAAGTTAAATAGCCTCGAAGGCCTAGTTAACGCGCATTTGCTGGAGGGTGTTTACGAAATGTCTTGAAGTATTAGCGGTTTTCCACCACTTTAGGCTGGCGGGTGGGAGCGTGTACCTAATACGTCTCCGCTACTCCTTTGAATTTTTAAGAAAGCCATAATACTACTTCATAAGCTTATACGAGGCTAAAACTCCCAGAACCTAGAATATCTTTTTAGTTAAGAATATTTTAAACGTTTTTAATTTTTTAAAAATATTGGTATTCATGCGTATAAAGCAATAGAAATACGGTGAATGCTGGCCGGTGTCTCCAGGTGTTGGATCTGGTTACTCGGGACCACCTCTCCTGGTGCTGGATCTCGTGGTTTTTAACCACGCTAAGTCACGCTCCCCTCAGTCTTTTATAAGTCTTATATTCCTTTGGGAAGAGTGCACTGGGGTCATAATGGTCCAATTCCTCTTGAAGGGGATGAAAAATCAGCTTAGGCGATTTAAAGAGCTTCCCAGTATCGACTCATGGAATGCCAGTGTCAAAAATTAAATAAATGTAGAGAAGCCCTAACCTTTTGTTTCTCTGTTGAAATAGAGTAATACTAGTGAGCAATTAAACCTCATACCCAAATTAAGCATTTCTGCTTTGAATGAACCGAGCATCCACAGAAGTCTTCAATAAAAAATGTAATAAGTTAGGTTAAAAAATGGGTGAAAAAGTAACGTGCTTTTAGCGTACTGTTATTATAGGCAAAAAAGATTCACCTGTGACGAGCTATTTCTATTTTGAAATGTTCCTGGTTAATTAAGGATTCTTTAGTTATTTGGTTTTTTTAAACTATTCTACCACGAAACAAAAGTGGCCTTCACCCCAGGAGGTCTGGCAACTCTATTTTAAGGTAGCAAGTTCAATAGTTTTAGCGTAGCAAACAGTCCTTCAGATTCTAGGCGATATTGTATTGCACTACAGTTTGTTTACATTTTTAAAATATATTAATGCTTGACCCTTCAGGAGAAAAGCTTGTTAAAAAAGGTTTTTTAAACTTAAAACTCTGTTATTTAGTTGTAGGAGTATAGCTTGGTATTATGGTTGCTTTATTGCTTTTATACTCTTGAGTTATCCTTATATTAACGACTTAATTATAATAACCTTGGAAAGAGTTATTAATTTTAGTAATACTCAATCTCTAAAATCTATATATAGACTACAGTTATCTTTAAAAATATTTTAAAAATATTTAAACGACTACACCTTAGAAATCTTTTTTGAGTTTTAAAAACACTGTTTCAAAGTGTGTAAGCTTTATTGATTTTACTAAACTTTACTACACCTTTAGATGTTATGGGAATTACTTCTCGTCTTGCCCACAAAACATCCGTAAATCCGGGAGCTTGCAGAAAGTGCGGTTATGGTTATAATTATAATTATAATTTCTTTTTTTTTTACTAATTACTCTAGCTTTTTTTTTTTTAGTTATTCATAACCTTTTTAAAAGTTTTAACTTTATTACAACTTTATTATTTGTTCGGTAAATATATCATTACCTGCTATTTATACGAAGCTGGACATCTTACCTACCAGTGCAGAAATATGCTTCGTGTAGATCCCAATAAAGAGACTCTGTGCGACATAAGCAGCACTTCGAGTGATTTGTCTGGCACTGAGGAAGATTCAATAAAGAAATCAATACCTTCCGTTGAGTAGTATAATATATTTAACACTATTTTGAAAAGTTTTTATTAATATTTCACCGTTAGAACGTATTGTATATAAATGTAAATTTAGTCAGCTTCATATAAATATAAAATTAAAAAAAAGTTTGTGTTACAATTCAGTTTAGTAGGGATAATAGTCTTACAAAAGTTGTTTATTAAGATAGATTTAAAAAACTATGATTTCTATTTTTTTGGCTAATTTAATTTTATTTATGTGGTATTAATTTATTCAAAACTTTATATAATAATCTATTGTTTATTATTTCCAATTAAAAAACCACAATTCACCAAGTTAAAATTAAATAGCATTTAATAAGGATTTTATTTTTAAAAAATTATTGTTAAGAATCCAAATTTTTACTAACCAGTTAACTATATAATTGGTTATTTTTAGACTATTTCTATAAAAACTGGATATTTAACGTCAAATAAAAGTTTCTTTTTACTTTTTACTTCTCCTTTATTACCTATTTTTTGATTTAAAATATTTAATTTGTATACAATGTTTTAAAAAAAGAGTTGTTATTATGTTTTAAACTCTTTAATAAATAAGTTCTCTGTATTTTTTTAAATAAAAAAATTAATGTTTTTTTTTGTATATAATAAATTTTATTTACTACTATTATAAAAATTTTAATTTATTTATTTATTAATTGTCGATGCTAATAAATTCCTTAACGTTTGTATAAATATATATTTCTTTAAAAGTTTTAAATCTAATTAAAGTAGCATAAATTATGCAAGTAGATAGTTTGGTTATACTTTTACGCTTTCCATTAATAAACTTTTGAGATGTAGAAAAAAAATTTAATTTTATTTTTACTTATTAACTACTGTTTTGAAGTTTGTTAAAAGCTTATTTATGAGTATTTAATAGGTTTACTTCTTTTTATTGATTTTTTAAAGTTTATTGCTTTTCATTATTTTCAGTACTATTTTGCCCTTTGTTTTTCTTAATTTTTAATATTTATTTGTAAATTATTTTATAGATGCTATTTTTTGGTGTTCTGCTAATTTTATATATTAATTTTAGATTAATTTGCAATGAATATTTTTATAATTTATATTATTAAAAACTTGTAATCAAAAATATATTTTTATAACAACTGCTTATTATTTTATTATATACAAATAAAATAAGAAGTTTTAGAGAAAAATCTACTAGTCCAGCGAAACGAAAACATCGAAAAAGATCCAAATCATCAAGTTCTCTATCGCGATCGCCATCACCTCGAAAAAAAAACCCAGGGAAATTAAAAAGTTCTAAACATCACTCCAAGAAAAATAAAGAATATAAGAAGAAGGTAAGTAAAAAGCGGCTTAAAAAATCAAATCGTTGTTAGAATAATTATAGATCTTTTAAAAACATTCTTTTTCACTACAAAGTAATAAACATGTTTAACTATATATTGGAATTTTTAAAATTAATAAGTTATAAAAAATCTTCTATTTCGACTGTTACACTTCTAGAACTTTTGGTAGAATTGGTTTACTATCTAAGGAGTTTTAATTGAAAAAAATTAATTTAGGATAAATAATCTTAATAAAAGCTAACATTAGTTATTTATAAAAATACTTTAAGTTTCTAATATGGCTTTTACTTTAAATGCCAAATATTTTAAAGAGTTGAGCATTTATGTATACTGTTACTAAAATTAAATTAAACTTAATGCAGTTATTAATACTTTTTTGTTTAAAATTGTAAAACATTTTCTTTTTGTTACTTTTGTAACTCCCGTTTTACTGTTATTCGAATCTCAAAATTGTCATAAAAAAAGCGAAGACCAATATTTGTTAACGATCCCAAGAGTTATACGGAAAAACAAGTTTATTTAAATTTTTTCTCATTATGTACGTTTATAATATTGCGGCTCTAGCTAATTCGACCCCACACTGGAACCACCACTTACCACTATTATTGAAACAAATTCACAAAGGTTATTAGAATGATAGGAAAACGTGCTAGTCCACAGTGAATTTTTAGTCATCGTTAAATTTTAATTTTAAAAGTATAACCGACAAAATAATTAAAAAAAAGTATTTTTTTACGTTAGCAGAATTCAAGATTTATAGTAAATAAGTATCATACTATACTTCCCAGCCTTAGTTTGTAAGGAACTTTTAACTTCATCGTAAAAGCCGAATTAAATCATTTTAGTTTCTTTTAAGCGAACTAACAATAACTGTCACAGTATAGAGAGCATTCTATGAAAATGGAAAATAGCGCTGGAAAAGCGCAGATTTCGCTTTATTGGAAAAATGCGGGGTGCAATGAAGTTATAAAATATGAGCTTTAAAACAGTTTTTATTTTATGGTACTTGTAACATAGGTCTGCAAAATTAATTTTTTTCCAGCTGCTTGGAATTCAGTTTTTTGCAAAATAAAAAAAAAAGGGAGGGGGGGGGGTTTACAGTAAAAAATCATTTTATTACATTAAACTAATGTTATTTCTTATATTTAAGAATTCCTCAGGATATATTTAGCTTCTGTGTTCCATTTTTAGCCCGCAAAACTTTTTCTTCTTCTCTTTGATGCTTCTTCGAACCCACTTTACACGCTTCCCTTTTCCATTTTCCTTTTCCCGCTTGATCAACCAGCCGTAGTCAGCTGGCATATTAGCATACCATCTATCTTAGTAGCGTCTTTGGATATCACGAACAACCTAGTGAAATCATTTACCTTGTGTTCTTCTTTATAAGTTCCTAAGTTTTCGGGAAAATAGTTGACAAGGGAGTGTAAGAAATGAACTTTCAAGCTCAGCTTGCAATCTTGAGCCCTATATATAGCCAACATGCGTTGTACATTGGTTGTGTAGAGATGGTCTTTAATTTTACACCAAAACTTGTGCGCTACGTCCTTATGATAGACAGAAAAGGAATAAAGAAGAAAGCAAAGAGAGGAAAAGGAACAACAACCACTCACGCGCTCATTTTTTAGCACTGGCACACCACAGTCGGCCATCTTGAAGCCTTAATCGCTTAATCTGAATTCCTCTTTTCTGCGAAAGTTGGGGCACGAGTGCCCACCATGTAAGCTCTTTCGAAGCTATGATGACTATCCCGAAGGACTGAAAAAGCGGAAAATATCGGACCCGAACTCCAACCATTCGGCCTGTTTGGTGGAATACTGCTAAAAACCACCACCGGAAGAGACGGCATTAAACACAAGACCCGAGGCCACCTCGGAATACCTGCCTGTACCACTGCCAGCCAAGCCTCCCCGAGACTATGAGCTCCGCACCAAAAGAGAGGAGCCCTTACACACTTGTTATTTCTGCTGATTAAATTTATATTTTTCCTTCAGTAAAAATTATTATTGTTCCAGGCTTTTCACTTGACCAAGTGGATATACCTATTACAACCATGTTATCACGGCTCTCAAATAAATAATTCCTAAGTACGTTATGCATTTGTGGGAATAATGGTTTGGTAGATGCATCTGCGATGTTGTTATTCGACTAAACGTGTTGTTTATGATACTCTTTCCTTTGCATGTCACCCCTCACGTAAAGATATGCTATATCAATTTCTAATTCATTTATTAGATGTACCGCCTCTAATTATATTCTTAACCGTTAAGTTGGCTGAATAGATCTTCATATCAATTCCGCGAGAAGGAAGTAGTTCTGTTAATATATTTCTAATCGCTAAAATGCTAGACAATGCCTTGCTTTTGGCGATATATTCAGCTTCACAGGAAGTCATTAATTTTTGTTTTAAGTTAAAGAACCATTGAAAAGGGCAGCGATTAACACATGATATATCCCATGGTCATCTTATAGCCATATGTGTCTGCCCATGAAGCGTCACAGTAGCATTCTAGTAATACCTTATTTTCATGGTAATTTTTGTAATTTAATACTAGAGAAAATTCTTTAATACTATTAAGATACTTTAATGTTTGACACGCCCACTTCATGTGTTCATCACCGTTGCAATGTGTAGGAAGCGACTAAGAATAGGAGGGGCATATGATAGCTCGGGTAGAGTACTGCCAGCAATATTTCGTAGTGACCCAACTAGGTTGTAAAAGGTTGCATTAGTACCCCCATCCGAGGGTGGCTTTAGCTTTGTGCTAATTGGCAAAGGTTGTTTTAAAGTGTTTTTTCTTATCAATATGATGTCTCTGTAAAAGGTGGTTAATGTGATGACTTTGATTTAACATGATGGGGTTGTCCTTATCATCGGTGTCAATTCCCAAAATCTTTGGGCCTTTACACATATTCTTTTCTCATATTATTGATAAAGGTGGTGTAGCCACCTTTGTAATACATCCTTCAATGTAAATGTCTACAACTGTTTCGAAGTTATTCCTATAAAATATGCATTCATTCACTTTACTTTGGCTGTGTCCATACTTTATGACCTTGTAAACAAATCTCGATAGAAAAGTCTTGCTGATGCTTTAACGCCGCAGAGAGCAATATTAATTTTGAATGCATATTTTTTGTTAGTCAAGTGATGTTAAGTAAGTGGTCTTTTTGGAAGACAGGGTAGTTTATTTTTAATTAAATACATTCCTTGTGGTATGTGTACAAATACAGGTCTTTATAATTTTATATATAAAAATGCCGTTATTATGTGTGCTGTATGGATGGCCAATTTACGTATTTTGGCTAGAGTTAATAGTAGTTTAAAAAAGAAGATTAGTAACACTGGAGAAAAAAGATGCTTGATATTAAAAATCAGGAATTTGCTGAAAGCCTCTGGCAACTAATCTGGCTTTGTATTGATTATCTGAATTAATATGTGACCTCCGCGTAGTTGATCTATTTTTTTTCGTTAAGAATACAATCCCTAGTAATAATCTCTAAACCATTAGGCTCTAATAACGTTGTGAGTTCGTATTTAGCTGCTAATTTATAGAAGTCTTTGTCTGCTGAATGCAGCGCTTCAGAATATGTGTTAAAATATTATGAGTTAATAAAGCATTTGATAACCTGGTTTTCTTCAACACGTCGTCCGCAACACATTCAG